TTGGAATTTGGATACATGATGAAATTATCTATGCGATTTTCATATGTTTTTCTTGTTGCAAAATTTATTAATATTTTTCATCAAAATCAAATAAAATTTGTAACAGAGAATACGAGAAGATTATAATCAAAATTATCTTCAAAGATTCAGGGGATTCTTAAGGCCATGTGCACTAATCAAAACAAAATTTATACAAAACTCATGCAACGCACGTGACATCGACTGGTCATATATAAGGCACCAGCTTAATTGGTTCTTAATTGTTACTCATTTTTACACTTATATCCCTATTTTTTTCCCATCATAATATCCACATTCTATTAATTTACGCATCTTATTTTCAACAATGATTTTTATTCAAAATTTTGTTAAGGGGTGTAAAAATACTTATTCGTTTCTCGTATTTTACATAAGTACAATAAATACAAAAAAAAAAAAAAAAATCTCCCTCATTTTAATGTGTTCATTAACACAATATTTTGACAAAAATCATCATAATAAAGCCTTTATTGCAATTGAAGTTTGACGTGATTAACAAATAATGTAATGTGAATATAACTACCCAAACCATGAAGGAATTTTCCATTTGTACAGAAATTGAATTGCTAGAAAATTGTCAGAACACTCATATGGGGGGTGAACCCTATGTGAATCAAATATTGCAAAAAAATAAAGAGGCCCCAACTGTGTATTCTGTTGCATTTTTGTACGTGTGTTTTCTGTACACAAAGCATCTTTCAACCACAAATATCTAGAAATTGTTTTGTTATGAAAAGTTTCTTTTCAATTTTATTGCATTGGACTTTAGATATTTTTAGGCCTACAGGGCAAATAGCTGTTAGCCTGCAAACGTTTTCAATCATTTTTTTTTTAAATTTGCAAATTAGTCACTAAACTTTTTTTTTTTCAGTAGGTATGGTGAGTAAAATTCTGTGATCCTTTAACAAAAAAAGCCACAATTCCATTTTCTTTTTTGGTTTCCCATGTCATGTCATAACTACTGCTGTTGCTCATACATGGAATATTAATACACCAACGCCATGTTTTGTATGGATGGTTGGATAGCATTCGGCGGTGTTAAGAAGCAAAATGAAACTAAAATTTTGTTTATCTAGTCCAGTCCAATATCATATACCAAACATGCACTGATACTACAGAGTCATTGTCATGGTGTGTTCGTAGATTTTCATCCCTTATATACTACCTTTTGTGGTTCTTGTTAGAATATGTTGGTTTTTTTTTTTAATCCAAACTATGTTGGATTTTTGAGAAAATATTTTTTCTTTATTTTCACGTGTTTTTATTGGAAAAATATTACTTCATTTATTCCACGTAATTTTTTGTCTCATTTCCATCTTTGCGATATTTTTAGGATTTGACATGCACTACAAGTTTTATATCTCTTATATACTTCATATCTTGTATATATATTACATCGATTCGTTTTATTTTCCAACAGAATAATGATATCTAACAACAGTCTATGTGACTACACTTTATAGTTTATATTAAATGTGTCACTTGACTTTATATAAATGAATCTATAATGTCATGTAATTGGTACATAAGCTTGTGCTTACCATTGGTAATGAATAGCGTTATTGTTGCAACTGTGTTTATTTGTTGCAAAAATATCTTCGTGTATTAGTTTTATGCATCTAGTCCTGTTGCCTAATAAACTTGTATATAGATTGATGTTGTGATTAGTCAAGCTCAAACCATTAGGGTAGCATTGGGCTCCTAGAGGGCCTTATTTGGGTATGTTCAAGGAAATGTGAAGGAGATCCTACATATTTGGCCTCGTTTGGTAGGGATTAAAATCCAATTAAAATTGAAAATATGACAGTTATTGGGTCCCACTAGTCTAATAAAAATCAACAATAATCTAAGGCCCCGTTCGGTAGAGATTAAAACCCAATTAAAATTGAAAATATGGCCGTTATTGGGTCTCACTCGTCTAGTAAAAGGCAACAATAACGACTATTTTTTCAATTTGAATCTGATTTTAATCCCTATCGAACGGGCCCTAAAATCACATTTTAAAGTTAACAAATTTATTAAATTATTTCAAAATTCAAGTGTTAATTTCAATTAAATATATATAATATATAATTAATTATCCTCACCCCACCCCCACCAAAAATTTCTAGAAATTCAAATTGAAAATCACACCTCCCCACGGACCCACTCCCATCAAAAATTTTCAGAAATTCAAATCTGAAAATCACCCCACCCCACCTCACCCCACCCCATCCCACCCCACCTTCCAAAAAATTTTCGAAATTAAAAACTGGGAATCACCCCCCTCCAATCCATGGATCCACCTACCCCACCCCTACATTGCAAAAAAATTTCAAAAATTAAAAATATCAAGTCACTGACGTGTGTCGTCCGTGATTAATTGTGACTAAATTTGTATTCAATGTGACTGTCTATGACCAAGTCGTTCTTAATTGTGACGTTATGTGACAACCAATCACAATTAACACAAAATTCACACAATAAACACATATTTGTCACAAATGATCACTACAAACAAATCCGCTAACACAACAAACAAACACCACAATCCACCACCAGTCATTACCATCATCACCTCCAATGCACCAAAACTACTCTCAAAATCCTAAGCTTGCTCAACCTGCTGCCAATAGCCCTCCAGTTTCACAATTGGAGGCACTTGATGATTTTACCATGGGTAGGTCTCGTATCAGTGTTGATGGAAGACCACAATAGCACCGCTGTAAAAAAACACCACTGAACCTCCACAACATCGCACACGACCACCTCCAACACATACAACACCATACGATTTAGTCAACCATCGTACCTACAGCACCACAGAGCACATCACCTCAACGCCGCACAAGTCCACCATCGAATCGTCATCACCACACCACTCAAAAAAAGGGAAGAAGAATGGATTTGCACTCTTGAACTGTAGCAACAGAAGGGCGAACAACTTCGCGATGTTCAAATCGCCACCTTTCAGTAGTGGCGTCTTCGTAGCAGTCTGGCGCATGGCTAATGATTTAGCGGTAGCGATAATGGTTGAGGAGAGAGAAGGAGAAGAGACGGAGTTGACGCCGCTTCACTTCAAATCATTGCCGCTCGGTAGTGTTGTCTTGAGGGCGGTGGCGGCGGCGACGTCTTCGCAGTAGTTCGGAGGCATGGGTGGTGATTTAGCGACGGCGACGGCGAGAGAAGGAGAAGAGACGATTTGGGCCAAAATGGGGTTGGGAATCAGTGGGGGATGGGGGGATGAAATATATAGATTTAAAATTTTATTAATTACATAATTTTTAATATTATAATATTAATTAATAATGCTATTTACCACCTGATTTTTGAATTATAAACTTTATCCCCTTATTTTTTTATTGTAATCTTGAAAAGAAGGGTTTCAGGTAATTTTCTCAAAGTGAAACTATTTGGTGAAAAAATTTCCATCATTCGTTGTTTAATAGGTAAATTTTTGAAGATTTTTTCTGCTGCTAGATTTCCTGGTTAAAATAATATTCCATTTATTTATATCCGGATCCTCACAACATCAGCAGAAAATGATCAAGATATACTCTCATTCTATATGCAGTTATTGCCGCTTGTATGCTTTTTCTTATTAGATAATGGCTTTCGAAGTATGTGAGATATCAAATTTGTTGCTCTAACTAATTGAGAAAAGAGAAGCTTTTGCTGGAATAAACTATAATAATTTTCATGGCAAAAATCTTTCTCGCATTTGTTTTACTTTCGCACTCTCTTATCATCACTTTTCCAAGTGATAAAAGGTCGTATTATACAACTGCTCAAAGCATGCTTGGTATGCACCACTGAGTCGAATGGATTTTACGATGGACCAAATCTTAAATTTTTTTTACTCTAATCCACCTTTCTAAAATGGCCTTTAGATGGTCAATTCAAGTGCTAGTGTTTTTGTAGGATGTCATATTTAGGACTAGCGCAAAACAAGCCATTCATGTTTTTGGCCATCTTCACCCTCTCCGACTTGCAATATGAATACTCTCTTTTAGTGGTATTTGTTATCTTATTTAGAATACCAACATCTCTTAATACTCAAATTCTTAATCTTCATAGGTACGGCCCAACCCAACATAGTATCAAACAAGTTGTAAGAGCATTATTCTGGCATCGTGACCCCATTTTCTATTAATCTTGTCTGCACAAAACTTTTACTAAAGAAAGTCCATAAATGTGTTTTTCTTGCAACCAATGGCACATTTTCACATTCCATACAAATTTGCACACAAAATACTTCAGTTTCTGCTGAAAACGGGAATGCATCCATATTTGCTCATATAACTAACTGGCTTTGGATTTGAATAAAAACTACCTCCCTGTCGACTTAAGGGCGAGCCTTAGCTCCAAGATCTACTTGCTTAGATGGGAAAGGATGCCGCCCGAAAACATTACTGTCCGAACATTACTTTCATGAGATTTTAGAGTATGGAATGAAATCCGAAATGAACTGCTGTTACTTTGAGGTCTATACATGCATTCAATATCATTGACATCGCAAATAACCAGTAATTCACATCCTTCACTTCCATAAACCAACTGAATTAAACAAAATCGAAAATAGACGAACCGATAATAACAATACAACACGGCTATAGCAAAGTGAGATAACCACTATAATTTGATAAGAGAACAGTTACATACAATTACTAAGTGCTATATGTTAGTCTCCACCCCCACTCCTCAAAGGAAGAAGCCCAAATACGAAAAATCCTCGCTTTTTACATTCTTCTCTACAGAAGATTCAACTCGAACCCTTAAAATGGAAAACGAAAATTCCTAAACATGCAACAGAACTTGTGGCTAAATATTTACAAGAGAGCAAGCATACCAAATGACAACAACACTGTTGCTTAATTTCTTTGAGTCCTCGTATTGAACAAGTCGACTGCAACATGAGCTCTAACAATAACCTCAATGCATAGAATACTTCATTTTCCAGCAGGAGAACATATTTGATCTCACTACTCTGTACACTTTAAGCCAGTGAGATAAACCTGTGATTGAATCACAGTCCTTCCAACTTTAAAACCCGGCACAACTGTGAACCCGACCTTAGGCCTAGTCTTTCCCCGGAAACTACATTTCCCCAAAACATCTTCCATGTACACCATTGAAAAATCTACACCTCTCTCGACCTGAAATATCTCTACCACGGGATCAAACGAATAGGCCAATGTATGAAGCAACCATATAGAGCTCGCCATTCTAACGAACAACTCGTAAAATACACTCAACGACTTCCACGAGTCCAACACCTTTTCCTTCCTATCTAAGTTGCTGAACAATGAAGACTCCATAGTCGGGTGAATCAATTCCTCGTATTTCTTCTCACAAAACCGTGAAAACCCACATTTTGGATTCTTACTCAAGATTTCCATCGGATTACTGGCTACGTGTTCAATTAGTTCTCTCAAATAACCACCATGAATTGTACTATTTTCACCATGTATTGAACCATTTCCATTACACATTACTTGACTATCACCTAATCCAAAATCATTCATATCAAAATTCCTAAACATTCCCAAGCAAATATAGGACAAAAATACGTACCGGAAATGCCCTTTTTTCACGTAATCAATGTCCGAATAGACAGAAATTGCAGCTTTCTCCAAATCCCACCCTGCTCTTCTCATCAAATCAATCAAAAACTTCGTAAAACATCGTAAAGACTTAACTGAATCATTCAACATAGCTTCAAAAACCCGAATTGTCAATAAAACATCCTTGCTAGCTTCCATTTTTTCCTTTTTGAACCCCAATTGTTCCGATAAATTCAAGTTAAAACTCCGAATTTTGTCGATTTTTTTCCTCAAGATCAAGACATCATCATCTTTTGCATCAATCTCAGATTGCAATGAATTTACCATGGTCTCTAAAGCCCTGAGCTTGCTCTGATTCTCCTGCACCTGAAATTCCAAAAATGATCCAGCCGGAAACTCAAATTCTCTGGGCAAACCCGAGCTCCTTTTCTTGAAATTCTTATAGATATTCTTCATTTCAGTCAGTTTCTGGAGAACTGAGATGAGTGATTTATCTGCTTGTTCAAGGGCGTTTTGGTCAATTTGGGGGACATGGGCCGTTTGGAACTGCAAATACGAGGCTTCAAATGAAGAGATGGTCGCAAAGAGTGAAAGGATTACGGTTTGGGTCAGGTGGGCATCCGGGTCCGGGCCATAATCCTTGTCAGGCTTGATAACGACCACTTTCTGGTCAGGTATGAACTCCTCAGCCGAGTCTAACAAAGAGATGACGTCAGAATCAACAGCGGAGGCTGAATCTCGATTGTCGGCGGCGGCGTCTTCGGCGAAGAGCTCGAAGGTCTTGGCCTTGACAGCAAGAGCGAATTTCTGGAACATCTCGGAGATTTGAGGTGGGGGTTCCATCTCCTGGAACATATAGAAACAATTATTATATGTTCTACTGCAAAATTTTAGGCTGTGCAGAGGGTGGGGGTGCTTTGGATGACTTGGAAGGAAGGTATTCGCGTGTGAAAAAATGGTGAAAGGAAAAAAACTGTTTGGCCCTGTTCAAACAGGGGAACGATGTCAACGTCGTGAAATTGAGCTCCATTTAAACCGATTCCATTTATTTGACTAAAAAAGCATCTTGAGTATTAACGGAGTGTTTGGTGGGGATTAAAATTAGATTTTTGATAGATTATGATAGAATTGATGAAATGTATGGTTGAAAAGTTGTGGGAATCCATAAAAGATAGGATTGATATTGATTATTTGATTTTAACTTAGATTCGGACCAAACATGGGCTAAATTTTTGGAGAATACATAGTTAAAAAGTAAAGAAAAATTTAAATTTACGTACAGAATATTTTTGATCCTGTTTGGCGCCCTTCTTCTTCTTCTTCATTTTAAAAAAAAAAAAGAGTTTTGAATAATATTTTAGGAGAACATGTAGTTAAAAAGTAAGAAAAAATTTTAAATTTACATGTAGAACGTTTTATCGTATGACTATGTGATTGAAAATGATCTTATATAAAAAATAGTTTTAAAAAAATGAGAATCAAATATGAGGTTTATTGCGCGAATGATTTTTCCATTTGTATCGAAAATGGATGACAACGAATTTAATAACCTCTTACATGCGGCATGCCTCGCATGATTAAAAAAATTCCAAAAAAAAAAAAAAAAGTGCCCCATTGTGAGCGTCGATAACCGGTATGTCAACTATTTTTGATACGAATAGCACTGCTCAATTGTGAATGTGTAATTGAAAACGAATATATATAAAATAAAAGTATTTTCTTCCCATGTTTAATGAAAAAGTAAATATTATTAATTTCACATTTGACGGTTTACAATTTTTTTTTTATTGCATCGTGAATTTTAAAAATATGTTATGAGCATAAAATGAGGGAAAGTCATTTTCTTGAAATGAGAGAAGAATATTTGTATTGCTAATTTTTTCGTAGTTTAGGAATTTGTGAAGTGGACTTTGACAGCAAGGGCGAATTTCTGGAACATCTCGGAGATTTGAGGTGGGGGTTCCATCTCCTGGAACATATAGAAACAATTATTATATGTTCTACTGCAAAATTTTGGGCTGTGCAGAGGGTGGGGGTGCTTTGGATGACTTGGAAGGAAGGTATTCGCGTGTGAAAAAATGGTGAAAGGAAAAAAGCTGTTTGGCCCTGTTCAAACAGGGGAACGATGTCAACGTGGTGAAATTGAGCTCCATTTAAACCGATTCCATTTATTTGACTAAAAAAGCATCTTGAATATTAACAATGTGTTTGGTGGGGATTAAAATTAGATTTTTAGTAGATTGTGATAGAATTTTTGAAATGTATGATTGAAAAATTGTGGGACCCATAAAAGATAGGATTGATATTAATTGTTTGATTTTAACTTAGATTCGAACCAAACAGGGGCTAAATTTTTGAAGAATACATACAGAAAAATTTAAATTTACGTACAGAATATTTTTGATCCTGTTTGGTGCCTTCTTCTTCTTCTTCTTCTTCATTTTTTTTTTTAAAAAGAGTTTTGAATAGTATTTTAGGAGAACATGTAGTTAAAAAGTAAGAAAAGTTTTAAATTTACATGTAGAACGTTTTATCGTATGACTATGTGATTGAAAATGATCTTATATAAAAAATAGTTTCAAAAAAATGAGAATCAAATATGAGGTTTATTGTGTGAAGGACTTTTTCATTTGTACCGAAAATAGATGACAACGAATTTGATAACCTCTTACATGCGGCAGGTCTCGTGTGATTAAAAAATTCCAAAAAAAAAAAGTGCCCCATTGTGAGCGTCAATCAACCTGTATGTCAACTATTTTCAATACGAATAACACTGCTCATTTGTGAATGTGTAATTGAAAACGAATATATATAAAATAAAAGTATTTTCTTCCCGTGTTTAATGAAAAATTTCACATTTGACGGTTTACAATTTTTTTTTGGTTGCATCGTGAATTTTAAAAATATGTTATGAGCATAAAATGAGGGAAAGTCATTTTCTTGAAATGAGAGAAGAATATTTGTATTGCTAATTTTTTCAATCAAATCCTTAAACACTTCACCTGTTTTTGTCGAGGGGAAGGCGACTGAGTAACGGTAACAAGAGGTGATATACAGTGACAGGCGATGCACGAAAGTTTTCATGTTACCTTGAACACATATTTTTGTATGTACTAGTAATAATAAGTTTGGACAAGATAAATTTATTTTTTACTTAATTTTGTTGAGAACTTATATTTCACCCCTAAAAAATAAGTTATAATTGAGGTGAAACTTCGACTTATATAGAAGTCAAATATCTCATACGAGTCTATGGAGTTATTCTTATAATTAATTTTAATTTATTTGTTTTGGCCTTTCAGGACAAAAGATATTTTTATAAAGCAAATCCCCAAATTAAATTATTCATCGAATAGTAAATTGTGTAAAAATATGTCAAATCAAAATATAACAATGTTTTAAAAATTGGCTTCACTCAAAAGTTTAGAGTCAAATTATCGAATCAAGATTATACAGATAGTATACAGACTTAAAATTACTAGGGAAGTTGAGTAGAAACATTTATTTGTTGTTTACCCTTTAACATGTTTGATCGCGTTTAAAAGTAACATTTAAACTATTTTTTAGCACAATCTGATGTCTTTACTGTCTAATCCAATCTACTTCAGTATTGGAAAAATGCCCTTTAAATACTTGAATATAACCTAAATATATAGACATGATATTCCCAAACTCGTCGAGTGAAATTTTAATGTTTAATTAATTTAAGCAAAGAAGAAGCTAGTGATTGATTTATGCCTGAAATTAGTAGAGTTGGATAAAAGAAAGGAGATTGTTTTGGTTGAAATTTGTAGCATTATTAGGAAAGTAGGTTAAGATTTGTTGAAGATGAAGTCAAATGGAGAGTTTAGAGAACCCAACAAATGTGACAAGCAAATTATATATTAATTTCACATCTAAAGTCTAAAAAAGGCTTTAACAACCTAATGTCGTTTCCAATGTTGGATGTTTTTCTTATTAATTTTCTTTTTCATAAATTTGTTCGATCCACCACCTTCTCTATTGAAATAATCTTAATAAAATCAATTTTATTAATTTTTTATTGACTAGACATATAATTAAGTCTAATAAAGAATGGAGATTCGTTAACTTTGTGTAAACAAAATGATTAAGCCTTATGGCTGAATCGCATGCGGCCCATAGGGCCTACAAACTTTTAATCTATAAAAAGTGCCCATCTTTGCCTCACTATTGCCCACTTGTTGGGGTCCTTTTGTGAAAAGAATACGACCATTTTGTTTTTACTTGCAAATCGTTCATATCGCATAACTTTTGATATTTGGATCTTCAAATCGATTATTCTTTGCACTAATGGTCATTTCCGTCTAATATGTCTATTAATTTAAAGAATAATCAATCCGAAGGTCCAAATGTCAAAAGTGAAACGATGGAAAAGATTTGCTTAATGAAAGCAAACAATATGAATGTTTATGTACCTTTTTAACACACTATTTAATGAAATCGGACAAAGACCATGTTGGCCACCTAAGGCATCTTGGATTTTGGAGGTCAACTAGTGCCTTCAATTACCCAAGATGGCTTAAGTTGAACATAGATCGATCAACTTTCGATAGTCCAGGGCCTGCTGGTCGTGGCTTGGTCTTTCACACTTGGAGGGCATCATCAGGAGAGTACTTCTCAATTCCCTTTCATATATATGTGCTATTGATTACACACTGGAGTATGAGTGAAGAAAGCTTCGACTCGAGAGTAGCTCAGCATATTTAGTGGTTGTCTTATAGTCTCGATCACGAAAGGTCCTTTTACAGTGACCTTCAGATTGGGATATATGTCTCAATTATGCTTCCTAGATGGGCATTATTACTACTCGATGTATTTTGAGTGTTATAAAACTAACAATTGTATTGAAATGTTGAATTTATATGACACAATAAGAAATATATGGTCGCAAATAAAAGAATAAAAGAAGACAAAAAAATATAACGGATGAATTATGAAATTTTATTGCACCGAAAATAATGGAGAAATATACAATTGATCATAAAGTTTCGATAATCTCTTTTGTCACACTTATTAAATTGTATAGAAGAGCCAAATATTTATAGGGAATATGTAAGGGACGTCCAAACCCTCTTAGTAGAATTGTTGATGAAATATAATGCCAAAAAATCGAGTCCAAAATGAAAAATGAGAGAAAAACGTGAAAAACCTAAAACAAGTCAAGTGGGTCTGGGAACCCCGACGCCGGGCGTTCTACCCAAAAATTTTTTAAAGGCTATTTTCTCCATCCCGAACTCTTCTTTAAGTCCAATAGCAATTTTCAACTCCCAATAGGTTTCCAAAATAGAATTTCAACTTGATATAGGATATAACATTCCAAACTGAATTTTTCATGACGTCCACTTCAATTAGAATTCTTCAATTACTTTAACAAGGAATTCAAGTCACACATAAATTCTAACAATCTCCACATTGATACGAATACCACTGCAACAAACAAAGCTTCAAAATTTTCTCCTCGTGGAGAAGAAAATCTGTCTGCAAGGAATGAACTGATCTTCAACAATAACCAAAATTGATTTCTTCAACATCTTCCAATGAATCTAAACACTACTCTGCCGAATTACCTCAAATTTTCAAAAAATTATAACGATTTTAAAATTCACCATATTGGGGTATAACACAATCCAAAACAGAATTAAACCCAAATACTTTTAAAGTAGGTTCATTGCTAGATTGTACACCTTCCACTATGCTAAAAGCATGCTAAACAAAATCAGCATCCTCATACCTTTTTCCACTGGGTCCGTCCCTAGCAATTAAATACCATGGCACCACAGATGATGGTGGTAAAGCAACATTATACACATCTCCTGAACTCCACTAAGTAGTATTTTCTTCAAATCCGACCCTTTAAGAGCTCCTAAATGTATTGTATCAAACTGAATGTCCACCACGGTACTAAATTTATGTTGATTGACTCTTCTACATTCTGTACGACCCTGCAAGATGTATAATTGGGACATTTTCTGTCCCCTCCAATACACCCTCGGCATCCTTACAAACCTTCAAAACTCCACCTCCACCAAAGAACTCATAACCCTTTAAATTAAGGATAAACCACGAGATGAGATTCTTCTTCAAATTCGGAATATGTCGAACATGGCCAAGTATTCTAATTGTCCCATCCAATAGTTTCAATCTGACCGTACCAATTTCAACAACCCGACAAGGTTTGTTGTCTCTCATAACCACGACACCTTTGTAAATGGTTTCATATTTAGTAAACAAGTTCTTATTAGGACACATGTGAAATACATATGCTGAATCCATAATCCAATCATCCTCTGATTTAGACTCGATATCAGAAATAGCCAAGAGATCTCCCTCACTTACAATGTTCTCTACCAGGTCTGTTTCACCTGAAGTCTCTGATTGCTTCCCATATCAACTTGCAGCCAACCTTTTTTTTATTCTACAATTTTTAGAAAGCCTTCTTCAAGTACACATTCATCTTGTAGAAGTTACAAATCTGATTACTGAACATAAATTTCGATTTGTCCTTCCAGAACCACCATGAGTAATGGTGTGCTATCGTAGGCACCCAAAAATAGTCCTTAAACCTCTAAAACTAATGTAGTAATGGAAGTAAGGGTCAATCCCACGAAGAGTGTGTAATTCAATATTTATGCTTCGTACAATGATTGAGGGGGATTTTGTATTCAAATAATTGTAAATAACTCAATTAATAACAATACCAATTAAATTAACGAAAACAATCAAAAGACTAACCTTGGTCTAAGTCTACATCCACCATCGAAAATCCACAATTGATCATAGATACAAGGATAATTCAATTCATATTTCGAATATTCATCGTTGGAATTGATTCCTATTTCTCCTTAATTTTAGTTAATTAGAAACCAGCGTTCTAATTAACCCTAATTATTAAATAACCCCAGACCAGCGCTCAAGATTCAATTTAATAACAGCTTTACACAATAG